TTTAGTAAAATTGGAATTCGATTTTCAACCTTAACGATACCTTATACGTACGTGGGCTACACCCTTAACGATACCTTATACGTACGTGGGCTACATATTGGTGCCGCGATACGATACGTATCTAGATACAGAACTTTTAGAAACGGTTTGTTACAAAGTTTAACAGTTTTGTCTGTAAGTTATTATCTATATTACTAACATTGTCTTATTTAAGTACTTCAAATTTTACAGTACCTTTTCAAATTATCAGGTTTGATCAACTAAATGGCAGCTGGCAAGAGAAGTAAAATAAAAACGTTAATATCTGTCTATCTATTTTGTTATTGTTAATTTATGTTACTTTATATGTAATGTTTTTGATAAAAGAAATGAAGACAACATGTAGTACTCAATACTCATCTTCCGTTATTGAATCATTAATTTTTAGCATATAATAAATTCTGATTTTTTTCTGTGCGAAAGACTTATAATGTTTACTGAAAGCCTGCCAAAGTTCGTGAAGATACATGAATCGTATCGTATCAGACGATGTATCGATACAATCGTATCATAGCTTCACGATACGATACTCGTATCGCTGTATCGCCACACCTTTAGAAAATACCCAGCTGTGGTACGAATACCCATTCACCAGAATGTAAAATTCGAATTTACTTAAATATTTTATTTGGGTATCTGAAACACGACGTTTCGATGATAAAAACATCTTGGAAGACGAGCAGAAAATAAAACAAAATGTTTGAATAATGAATAACTCATTTCATTTACGACGTCGATCAGAGTTAACCAGTAGACGTATTGATTCAACGTTGAAAAACAAATGTTAAAAGACAATAAATTCGCTTACAATATGTTTCGATGGTAAGTTTCTCAGACTAACATTGGACTAGAATGAAGTTTGAACTGGATTAATCTGCCAAGATGGACTGTCGTTTAATATGAACATCGAACAACTGTTTAGTGATCTTCGTCTTTATGTCTTAACACAATGATGTAATTAGTTTATTATGCCTACAGACGACAGTACAATGTATCGTGCGGTTGAGAAACAGTAGTGATGATGTATTATTGCATGTTCAATTCATTGGAATTTTTAGCATGTTAGGTAAGGATACCGCAGGTAAGGTTGCGAAATGGTAATTAAAGCAAGGTCGAAGAAGCGGTGTACCTATAGGGAAATCACCTGCAGAGTGAAAAGTAAACCAAGCAAAATCTCAATAAATAAATCTTATTTAAACTTCCTAATTTACGAGAAGTGTTATCGAATAAAAAGTAGTTTCTATACACAAGCTAGGATATATAGATGTGTCAGACGTTTGTTATTCAAGCTTCATGTACACAGAACAGAGTCAAGGAAACATATATTTTACAAGTTTGATTTTGATGTGCTTACATAAACATGAGAAGGTGTCGTAAAATCGGAGACGTGGACAAATAAAAAACTTTCATAAATCTTTTAAAATATATGTCTTCCAGGTTTGATTTCGGTAAACTTACATATCCGTAAAAAAAGTCCGAAAAAAAATCTGATTTTGATGAACTTGCATAAACTTAAGAAGATGTCGTAAAATTGGAGACATGGGCAAATGAAAAAAAAAGTAATATGTTTTATTAAATCTATGAAATGTATGTCTTACAGGTATGATTTTCATGAACCTATATACACCTAACAAAAGTCAGGAAAAAGTCTGATTTTAATGAACATACATAAACGTAAGCAGTTGTCTTAAAATTGGAGACATGGACAAATAAAAAAAAAAGATACATTTTTTAAAACCGTATCGTGGTGTCATCTGGTGGTGTTTTTTGTTTTGTGTATGTTTTTGCGTTTGAAAATCGTAACAATATTTGACACTTTTCTTCTGTGGGTCAATTCCAGAGCTCGATGTATATGAAGTAGAAAAGAAATTAATTAGAGAACAAACCGATACTCAGTTTATTTTCAAGGTGTTTGTCTTTCCGACCAAGAAATAGACAGTCAAAACTTTAGAAGGCTGTATAGAACTGCTAAACCTACTCATTTGTAAAATCAGTAATTTACAACGATACAGACCAATGAATAGGAAAAGAATTAATTCTTAGAAAAGAAGAATGGATTTTTTTAAATTCTAGTTCGAAACCAGATTTTCAGTGTCATAATCCCTTACTTAACGCTGAGATAATTCTAATAAGTACACTTATTCAATACAGAATAAGTACATTGTTTTAACACAGTTCTTATTTTCTCAGTCTGTTGAAACTGATTATCTTCAAAATCAATTAAGACTTGTCTATGGCTTTTAAATTTATTGATACCTGAATGAACTGATTTATTTTAAGTAAGGTAGTACTTAATAATAGGGATCGACAAGGATTCCAAATAATTCACGTTCCGTAAAACCACCCTGTCGAATTCCTAAGCGAAAAACCGACCACTAAAAGTATTGGTTACGATATATTATTGCGCATATATACTATTAATACGCTAAAAATATCGCTAACATTTCTGGTATAACAAGTCAAAAGTTTCTAAAGCAGCAACTTTTTCGTCGATTACTTACCTACCTGATCATGTATGCAGGGCTAGCGCCTAGACGACTCGGACTATTCCTACAAAATTTCTCCAGCTTACTTGACTGGTCTGTGGGTATCGCTTTTGATATTCCGATAAACATACACACACACACACACATATATATATACAGGTATAACATAAATGGTAAACGTATCATGCACGTACTTAAATATCTTTTCAACGCTACGTATCAATTGATAGACACGTGACAGTTTCTAAAGGTAAAGTATATACTTTATACAGGTATAACATAAAAAGTAAACAAACAAAAGTATTTAAAATTATTAATTTTAAAATAAAATAGGGATCCTGCTATAAAAAGTAACGATAAAGAATGAAAACTACAATCACAAATTTATAACATTTAATCCCTACTTTGGCAGCATTATACACTAATATGTAGGCCAAAGTAAGGAATACATTTTATAAATTTGTGATTGTGGTTTTATGTATTTTTTCATTAGTTTTTATAGCAGGATCAATACATCATTTTAAAATTAATAATTTTTAATACTCTTGTCGATTATACTCTTTATGTTTCAGAATCTTCTCCAAATAGATGGTAATCAGCCTGATAATCAGAGAAACTGGGCAATCTTTACGAAAGCATTTAATTGCCCGTCAGAAAAATTTAAATTTCAGAGGGGAAAATGACCCAAAGGAGAAAGAAATGTTGTAACCTCTGAAGATGAGAGAAGACAAGTGTAGATATCGTAATGATTTTTACAAAATTTTATTGATCCGCAATAGCATTATAGTTCACTATAAAACCAACAGATGGGGACACAAACATGTAACATCTCGGCTTTTCTTATTAGATGAATATATAGTCTATAGGGATGATTTGCGTTATTCTACTTATCATTATTTACGATATTTATTTTGCATTAGTAAAATATCGAATGTTACTGTCAATGCCTATATAATATAATTTATTATATAATAATTAATAAACGATTGAATAATTTTATGCATTAGATTATGTTAAAACTAAAATAAAGTATTAGTTTAAAATTAAGTAACGTTGCCAAGGTAAACACAAATCAATACATTTTAAATTTATGTTTCAAGTGAAAAATAACATCAAAAGCAGAAAATAACAATAACAGTTACTGATATTATGTGCCTACAACAATTTATTTATGTCTTATTAATTTTTAGAATTTAATTGACAATTTTTGGATTTCCGAACTTCTTCTTAACAAATCAAAATTTGACAATTTTATAAATATACAAGCAGTGAAGCCATATTAACCTTAATCTATATTTTCTTTCTCCAATTTAAATATCCAACGTAAGATAAAATCTAAATTATATATTTTAAATTAGAGGATGAAGAATTTAAAACATTCCTTTCAACAATACACACTCGTTAAAATAAATTCACACCCTCAATATAACTTAGCGGTTATATGTCAGAATAATGTGTAAATTAATGACGTAATTAACTTTGCTCATGGGGTTATAACAATCTTCATAACGTTCGCAATACACTAAACTATATTTCTTATTGAATTTATCCTTTCATATTATGTTAGTTTCCAGTTACATCTGTAAACATATCAGGCCATAGATTAGCAATGTCTGTTCCTCTAGTTTTTTCCTTGAACCTTTCCATCATCAGCTTTGATTGAGCAGCAGAAAAATAATTTTTCCAGTCACCAACAGCTGCCTTTCTGACGAATTTCATTTCATTGGGCATTTCTATCTTTTGGTTTTTAAAGTACTCGTTAATATATTTAATTCCTTCGGGAGTTTCATTCCGATGGAAAACAGGGTTGCAATAAAAATTTTCCATTTGTTCATTCAAATGTTTTCGCATGTAATCTGAGCTTGTCTGGTAAAGAATCTTATCGATCAGTTTTTCATCAGATTCCAATAAATCTTTATACGTTTGATCCAGAAAACTAGCAATCTTTAAGATAGCAGCTCGTGTGTCAGCTTTCATTTCCTCGTAAGTGATGAACAAGACGTTAGAATCAAGTCTGTGTTCATACCAGGATAAAAGATGATCAAAATAATCACCCCAGTCATTTTCGCCATTCATGAATACCTCAAAGAAATCGTCAAAACTTCCATCTGTAAACTGATACTCTGGAAACATCTTCGTGTGATGGTAAAAGGAAACACAGCAGTCTTTAGGGTTTCTAGCTACATAGATGTATTTGGCTTTAGGAGAATAAGGGTTCAAATGGAACGGCAGGTGTGTTTTAATGGCTCGGGGACGTGGCATGACTTCTGCAGTTTTAGGCCCTAACATCTCCATAAAGGGAGAACGTATTTGGAAATCTTCAAAACTTTCGAAAGGCTCCCCTTTGCTTAAAATATTGTGTACAATATGTTGTGTCCAGGTTGTTCCACATTTCGGAAAAGTTACGATAAAGATGTCATCATCCCTAGGTTTATATTGGATAGTACCTCTCACGCATTCAGGAGAAAAGGATATATTCATTGGCAAGCCAAAAATATCTTGATACACAGGCTTTTTCCTGACTTGGGTCATTTTACCTAGTTTTTTTGGAATGAGAAGTATTTTAAGAAATAAATATTCTGTATTAGTTTGGTCATTATTTATATATACACATCTTTCTTGAAACTAATAATAATCATACTGGAGTTAATGTTAATTGTATTTAAGAACAAATAATAGTTGGATCTAAAATATAATTTCTTAAACAGCATTAGTGTGTTCAGTAATGACTTAGGTATTAATGTGTCATATACTAAGTTTGCAATTCAACAGGTCAAACTGATAAAGTAAAAGCTTACAATCCAACAGGTCAAAGTAATAAAATAAAAGCTTACAATCTAACAGGTGAGACTGATAAAGTAAAAGCTTACAATCCAACAGGTCAAACTGATAAAGTAAAATATTCTGGATAAATAAATTGTTGCTATCATGCAACCAGTTTCAGAGTTCTTGGTTATATTTTTCTTGTTGATAAAGCTGTCAAAAAGTTGGTTTAGATTACATACCTGACGAAGAATTTCCAAGTGAATTATTTAGAAAATACTGAGTCTGGCTGTACAGCTAGTTCTGTAATTCTACTGCTGCCCAAAGGATGCCGCCACTGAGGAAAGTAATCACATCTGTTTTGTTCAAATAGTAAGAAATCCGACATATTTGAGCAACAAAGTTCTAAAATATTATTTCATTTTAGTGATAAATGTTTCTCTGATATTAGAATAGTCTCTTAAGTGTCAAAACATTATTCAGAGTAAGAGAATTAACATTTACTGAATGTTGATCAATTTTTGGTCGACATAGGTTTTGTAAATCTTGCTTAATACCAAACTTCACATCTGTTTGTTTTGAGCGCAAGGCTACATGATGGACAATCTATGCTGTGCCCATTGTAATGATTGAGTCCTGAAATTTTAGCGTTATAAGCCCTAAACGTATCAAAGTAACATTACATTTAATACTAAACTTAAACTATAATAAACTTATTGGCTTTCCATTCTATAGCTTTATTTGTTGTAATACTAAAGCCTTTTAATTAAAAAAAATATTTTATTTTTGTTTCAAAAGTAATTTATATAAGGCTTTCCTTAAAAATGTAAATGATTGATTTGAAATTATAAAAGGTACGTTATGGTGGGCTTTTAGTTTTATATTATTTCTTTTTTTTTTTGAGGTAATGAGTATTAAGACAATTTCCTTATCATCAAACATACCAGTCAGGCGTAGCCTAATGTTTATCATGCCCAGATTTTAAACCCGGGGATTGATAGTTTGTGTCTGTCCTTTTGCTACAAAAACGAGACCCACACTTTGTGGTCCTGAGTTCTACATAAGAGTGGCTGTCAAATTCCTCCATTCGATAAAAAAAGAGTAGTTGAACATTGGGTGTTGTTGAATAGCTATCACCAGTCTAGTCTGTCAGTTTAAAATTAAGGAGAGTCATGCACTAATAGCCCTAAAACAAAAACCCTTATTCTTCCCAAAACTGAAATAAATCGCTATAACAACTACATAGAAGGTACTTAATTTTACCAAAAGAAGTGTCTAAATTATAGAGTTCTTGAAACGATTTTCTTTCTTTAAACTGAAAAGAGTCTTTTATTGACCCGTTTGTGTGTGTGTGTGTGTGTTTGTATATGTTTGTTTTTAGTTAGAATAACATAATTTCCGGTACAAAGATTTCCCGCAAAGCATTATGAAGGGTAAAGAACGTCATTCTGACAGCCAAATCAGGTAAGTGATTAAAAGTGCTGATAATCTTAACTACGGAGGATTAAAATGGCTAGTGTTCCTTCAATAAGCTGAATCTGTAGGTATTGCAAAGTATCGCATTCATCATAAATTAATTGTTTTCCAAATTTCAAATTTAAGTTCTATTTTCTAGTAAAGAAGAGTATATACAAATTACCAAGAAAAAAACTGTTTTATACGTTCGTCACTGACTATTACTCTTTTTTCTTGGTCACTAACTTACAAACTCTTTGAGTAAAGTTTGGCTAATACCGACATGTCATCACTTTTATAAATTTTACTTAAATAATACCCCGTTTTAAAGGGTGTTAGACTAATAACAAATTACGTGCATAGGTAATATCGACTTATTTCGAAAAAAAAAAAGACACCTTACATCAGAAGTTCAAAAACACACTTTAGATAGAGATTAACTAGAGGGAAAATAGCTAGTCAACCGCACTCACTGCCAAATCGTAGGCTTTTCTTTACCAACGAATAGTGGGATTGATCGTAACATTATAATTCACCCATGGCTGAAAGGGCGAGCTTGTTCAGTGAAGGGAATCATACCCGCGACCCGCAGCTTACCAGTCCATTGCCATACCACACACAATTTCTTCTTACTTTCTATAAATCAATTATATTGTACAGTGAAACACCTTGTGGAAGATGATACAACCCCACTGCAATGTTTAAATGTTGTAAAGCGTTATCAGATGGCCCCACGTTGCTGCAATGTTTAAATGTTGTAAAGCGTTATCAGATGGCCCCACGTTGCTGCAATGTTCAAATGTTGTAAAACGTTTTCAGATGGCCCCACATTGCTGTAATAATTAAATGTTGTAAAGCGTTATCAGATGGCCCCACATTGCTGTAATATTTAAATGTTGTAAAACGTTATCAGATGGCCCCACATTGCTGTAATATTTAAATGTTGTAAAGCGTTATCAGATGGCCCCACATTGCTGTAATATTTAAATGTTGTAAAGCGTTATCAGATGGCCCCACATTGCTGTAATATTTAAATGTCGTAAAGCGTTATCAGATAGCCCCCACATTGCTGCAATGGTTAAATTATATTGAAATGAACACACAGAAGAACATTACATCCAATATTATTAAGCCACCTAAATAAAACAGGAATTACAAGAAAATACTAAGAGTTATCGTATAATGCTAAATTTGATTATGCTTAAGAAATAACTAAAACGTTATAGTAGACACAAGAGAATTCTCTGATTTGTGTATATATAAAATCATC